ATACTTGTTTAATAGTTCCCCACCAAAGTTTCCTCTAAGCTATACAACTATGCAGCATTTTCTGAGCTCACTCAGAAGTTCAAAGCTCCCCACATAGACAGAGAGCTCAGCTGACTGGGGGCGGGGGTCTGCAAACAGCAGCTAAATACTGCCTCATGATGAACTAAAGAGCTCCCAGAGCAGAAAAGCAGCCAAGATAAGGAGACAATAAGTAGACAGAGGAGGGGGTAATTAATTAATTGGTTTTGGGGAAAGTCAGAGTGGGGTGGAGTTTGGAGAGTCCCTTCTGTGGGAGGAGAGACAGAGAGTGAGAGATAGAGGCAGAAACTCAACAGTCTCTTCCTCCTTCTGGGCTGGTAAGAGGTTGACTTCATGGAGTAGGTGAGGGAAAGGGGGTGAGTGGGCTCTGGCATCTGTGTAGTGAAGTGGAGGCAGGGAGGAGTTTGTTGGGGTGTCCTGACTCACTGCAGTCCTCTCTGTTAGGCTGGGTTGTTGGTGTGTGTGTGGAAAGCAGGCCTCATGGAGCATGTGGGGGGGGTGTATGCTAGGAGGACATTTGCATGATTGCATTTCAAACAAAAAGTTTACATGGGTGTTAATGGCTTAAGATAAGAAAGAAAAAGATTCTTTTAACAGAATTTTTTTTGAGTGTTGCAAATATCTAAAACCTTGAACTTACTGGGTTTTTTTAAAACCTGTGTTGATTATTAATTCATGGTAAATGATATTGCATTAAGGCCAGATCTTTGCTATGTGGTAGAGTTCTGGGCTCTTATGAGTCAAAAGTAGCATATACTAGGAGTGATGCTAGTTTTATAGCAAACCTTATTTGCAAGCTCTTTGAAACATGCATCTGTCTACAAACCCTGAAGTCATGTATTAATTTGTTCTGGAGCATCTGCTCTTCCTCACGTGGAAGAAGGTTAATTCCCTACCTTTCTTTGTATAGCACCTTTGTAGTCACAAAAGCTACTACACTGCAAGTAGACACAGGTGTCTTGTTTTAATATATTTTCTCCACACATATGGACTGTTTAATATGTGTGTGTGTGCGCGCACATGCGAATATGTGCACCACCAATACAAGCACTACCTCAGTATTGGTTTTGCACATAAGAAATTTCAAGCTGACCAAGATAGAAAATGTTAGAGGGAACACTGTTCCCCACTGTACATTTTCAGCTTCTTTAAACCAAGACAAGTAGTCTCTGCTTTAATAGACTGTCTTAAAACAGATGGATGGCTTCTCTTCTCAATCTTGCTTTAAAACCTTAAGAGAATTGTTTTCCTGAGCATGTTCATTATAATTTAATTATTAATTGTAGTAATTGGAGAGCCAGATAAATTGTACTACACATTTACTGATTATATTTTTAGTTATAACCCTAATTTTACTATTGTCTTATACCATTGTAAATTAGCTGTGGTATATTTCACTTTTACTCTTGTTCTATAACTACTTGCTTGATTTTCCAATACATTTTTTTTAAAAAAATACACTGAACTGGTTTATCTCTCAAAACTTTGATGTGGACAAAGCAATCTGCATGGGTGACAATTACAAATTATTCCTAAAACTATCCTATATTTTCATTACTGAAAATAGCATCTTTTATTCCTACAAGACAGTAACAAGCCATGGCAGCATATGTACAGATTTACCAGGCATGAGCTGGAATTAAACATTTACACGTCAACTTCAAAAGTACAACTTGAGCTGAGGGAGAATCTCTCTCTCTAGAAAAGCAGTAGGTTGATACGGTGATGTAGCTGTAGACAAACCACTGGAGGGAGAAATGATCACATACACTAAAGCAGAACCAAGGACCCACACTGCACAGGCAGTTGCTGCTGCTGTCAGGAAAGGAAGAAGAAACATTTTAGTACTTTCTTACATTCATGTTTCACATTACAAACTTTGTTTCCTTTTATATTAGCACTTCTAGCAGGTATTTTGGCCAGGAAATCCATTCTAAAAAGGCACAATTAGCGTATAATATATAAATTGGATAAAATACAATTTCTTTAGCATGCAGAGCCACTAGATTATCCTGCTTTTTTAAGGATGAAGCATTTCAAGGCTAACCGTGGTAATAACTAATTTGAGTTCCCCATATAGAAGCAGCCTACAACTTGGATTTTCATCCTGTGAGTAAATGGAATAATACTCAGCTTTTGGGTACAGTCTCCTTCTGAATCTCGCCCATGTTAATTATTAATGACAGTGTTTAAGTGGTACAAGCCTTTACATTTTTTAATCCTGTACTGTCACAACTTTAGTATTGAATGTACATCTCACTTTGGTTTTCTGTCAAGCTATAATACTGTGGTGTCCAATCCGTTCTGAAGCAGTAGCCACTATAGTGAACTAGCCACATTATTGTGAAAATGTAAATAATTTTGTGAGACTCTCCAAACATACCAATTCTTGTCTTTTAATGTCAAGAGAATGCTTCAATATTGGTTTTAATCAACAGATATCACATTTCACAGAAATTCAATCAATGGGACACAACAATTTTGTTTCACTGTTAAATCTCTGAAATCAGGCAATAACTTTTCACTGACAGCATACCTCAACTCAGCCTCCACATTTTCATCCAGTAACTGTGACCAATACTTTGACTAGATGTACGTCATGACAGAATGATGCTTCACAAAGCCATGTTGAACCAAACCTGGAAAAAAGTTTGGCAACTGCATTTTTCAAAATTGCAAACTGATTCTGTTGCAAAAGTGCATCCCATGTCGTCAAAACTGATTCATTTTTTGACTGACTGAGCTGGCTTTGAGCATAATCAATATACTAATGTACCCGAACAATGCAAATTTTAAAATAAAGATACTCACTTGAGAAACACATTGAAATGAATACCAGGAGATGACTGGCCAGCTTGAAAACTGAACTGCTTCATACAAGAATGAATCATTTCACACAGAGAACTCAGAAGTACTTTCAGAAAAGCTTTGACAATAAATACCAGTGGAAAACTAGTACTCAGAAATACCAGCTGCAATTTCTTGCCTAAGTGGCATATTAAGCTTTTCCATTGACTGGTAGAAGTCTCCATCCAACAGATGGGTCAAATTAGTGGAAAGCGGCTTTAGAATTCAGAAAGATCTTCTGAACTTTTTTGTTTATTCTCTAAAAATTTTTGATTTTTGATTAAAAAAAAAAGAGTGCATCGAATTTTGAGTTTTTATTGTTCAAGTCAATAAGCCACACTCAACCAGCCAAATAGCCACATGTGGCTAGTGGCTAGCATGTTGGATACCACAGCTATAATACATCTGAGGAGCCTGAAAGCTTTTTATGGTGCCTTATTATCTGTTGCATCACTTAGGATCAATTTGAAGTCCATAGGTGGCTTTCTAGACTATGGAGTAAGATCTGCATGCTTGGGATGCTGACATGAGTTTCACAGACAGAAGTAGCATTGTGTTTGGGAAGGACTGAAAGAGGTATCAACAGGACACATGTCTTGAGATGAAAGTTGCAGGAAAAGAGGGGAAAATAAGGATGCTTGTCTTTGGAAAGGAGACCGAGTAGTCCTGCAGCACCTTAGACTAACAAATATATACATAGTATGAGCTTTTGTGGGCAAAACCCGCTTCTTCATATGCGTGGAAAAACTTTTTCCACCCGAGCTCATCTGAAGAAGTGGATTTTGCCCACAAAAGTTAATGATGCTATATTTTTGTTAGTCTCTGAGGTGCCACAGGATTACTCATTTTTAAAGTTACAGACTAACATGGCTACCCCTCTGAGACTTTTGAAAGGAGAGTGTATGCTAATGTTCTGTAATTGACTGGCAGGAAGCCAGTGTTTGTAGGGAGCAGTGGAAAGTGGGACTAAGGTCAGGAGAAGGCCTTCATTGGGGGGGAAAAGCAGTGCTCTAATTTTTGGCAGCTTGCAGGAGGTTAGAAACAAAAGCTTGTCATTGGGGCCGGGGATAGGGGGGTTAGTAGCTAGAAGAATTTCTCTACACTACAAATAAAGCTCAGAGGACCCAATTACATAACTCAGTTGGTATTATGTGTCCTTTCCACCCTACAACTTATAACGTTTCCAGACCCAGTTGTATTTGTAGTGTAGAGCGCTTCCAAGTTCAAATCATGCTAAACAGTTAGCTGTGACAGACAGTAGGTTTCACTCTAAACAGCAGGTGAAATGAAATGATGAGTATTATATGTATAATAATAATATCATAAAAGAATATGACAACTAGTTAGAACAAGGGCCTAGCAATAAGCAAATCTGTGTTCTGTACTCACCTCTGCCACTGGCACTATGTTACATGGCAAGTCGTTTAACATCTCCCTGCGATAGTTTCCTCTCTGTAAAAAGTTTGTATCTGCCTAACATGGGAATGTTCTGAGATTTTCTCAATTAATGTATGCTACGTGCTTTGAGGTCCTTAGATGAACAGTGATATGAGTGAAAATATTTATTCTGTAATCTTCTCACAGCAAGAAGCACTTTATATATGATACAGAACCAAGCTTTTTATTGATGCTTAACAAATAACTGAGATAAAAGTGTAAAAAAAAATTATTCACAAGAGCCTCTTCAATGGTTCTTCTATAATTTCCCTGTTTTTATACAAACATTTGTTTTCCTCCCCATTTTCTTTCCATCCAAAACTGTTATTTAAAAGACAACCTAATATGAGGTCACGATTATTTAATAGTGTATGTTAAACATGAATGTTTTTGTCAATTCCAATGTGAATAGAAATGTCTTAATTTATTTTATTTTATATTTACATTAGCAGCAGTTCTGAATTTCACTACTCTATTTAAAACTGAAGAAAGATATTGTGTACTGGTGAATGAAAACCTAAAAGGAACTAACTATTTTTGTTGACTAAGGTGAATAAAATACAAAAAGTAAACAAACTTAAATGTTGAAAACTGTAAAATGCTTTCAATAGTATTATTTTTAAATATAACATTTATTACTTTTAAATATAAATTTGACATTGATAGTATCCCTCTAATATTTAAATTTTCCACCATATTAAAAGCCCACTCATCTGCTTGCTATCTTGATCTGCAAAAGTCCCATCCTCCCCAGTCTTTTTCAAATGTATTTCTAAAATCATTTCTTGTTTATTTGTCCTGATCAGCCATCTTAAATGTTTCTTATATTCAAAAATACAAACTCCAAGGAAATACTTTCACAAAATTTTATTGGAATTAAAAACACTCTCAGACTAATTTCTATGATGCCATTCTAACTCAAAATTTACACTTGTGAAACTAAGTGGCCCATTAGTTCTACAGGCTGACCTTAATTTTCATCTACTACCATCATTGTAATATAGTCTTTGTAACGAACAGTATTTGTTTCAGGATCTACAGCAGCAGACAGCATCTCCTCCATTTCTTCCTGTGTAAAAGGTTCACCTGCAAGAGGGCAGAAGTATCAACAGTTTCTCCTGATACTATATATTATCCAAACTTATCCAATGAATTTGATGTTTGGACTCTCCCTTGCAATCCTCTTGGTACTCAGGCAGAAGACAGGCAGACCCAGGATGCAGTTCTTTCACTTACTGCAGATATTTGCAGTGTTTTTGCAACTGTGTTGGTCCCAGGATATGAGAGAGAAGGTGGGTGAGATAATATCTTTTATTGGGCCAATGTCGTTTGGTGGAAGGACAAGCTTTTAGTTTTCATTGTCCTCTTCTTGAGCCTTGGAAAAGGTCACTTTGTGAAAAGTGTTTGCTCACGAGTGTTCAAAATATGGTAACAATAAAACCATCTTATTTTATGTGTATCTTTTTTCTAGAACCTCCCTGTAATGTGGCATGATTTCAAAACAAAATCCGTAGTCAATCCAGGATGAATTCTTAGGCTTCATATAAACTGCAGGGTTTTTGCATAAGAAGCCTTTTGTGGAAGAGATCTACAAAAAAGTCTTTTGCAAAAGTGTGCCCAGACCTTTTGCACAAGAGAGCGTCCACACTTCATGGACATTCTTGTGCAAGAAAGCTCTGATGGCCATTCACAGAATGGCCATCAGAGCACCTGTGCTTTTGCCGATAGGGCTTCTTGTGCAAAAACCCCTGTGGAGCATCCACACCTGCCTTTTTGCACAAGAGCTTTAGTGCAAAAAGGAACTATTCCTCATGGGGAGAAGAATAACTCTACAAGCAAAAGCCCTCTGTTCTGCCAATTTACTTGCACAAAAATGCACTTGAGATTAGGACAGGTGTTTTTGTGCAAAAACATTGTAGTGTAGACATAGCCTTATAGGCTTTATCTGCAGTTTCATTGGTAGCCTAGTGCAGCAACACTGGGATAGTAATAGTGGGACTGTTAACATAGAAAGATCATAGCCATTTTCACCATGGCTGTACCCTGTCTATACTTGTTCTCCTACTATTGCTACCACTGGTGGAAAAGTGGCACTGAAATTAGTGAAATGGTGGGAAATTTTCTGAAAAACAGTAGCTTCTGATTGTTCAAGGAAAGGAACCACAGATACTTCCTACATTAGCATAACACGTTTTCCAACTATTTACAGAATATTTTGGGAAAAATATTTTACTCCTCTTCCGTGCAAAGGACAACAGCCCTTGTGAGCAGAGCACTGTATCCATTAAACCCTTTTTTCCAACAGCTGCTCCACTAGAAAGGTTTAAAATTATTCTATCTAAAACTACCATATTTTTTTCTCCACATATTCAGTCATACACCATTCTTAACATCAGAGGCAAATTAGATTGTTGATATAGGGACATTTTCTCTACTAGTGTCTGGTTAGAGAACTTATCTTCTGGTTTCAGACATGTTGCAAGAACTTGAGCTTGCAGTTACTCCACATGCTACCATAAAGAGCTGTCAGTAACTAATTCTTCAACAACTAGCCAATTAGCCCGTCATAAGATGGGATTTTATAAACCTCTTATAAATATGACTATTTGATGCCACAAGATGGTGCTTATCTGGACACTGATTTTCTAGGCAGCTCAGTGACATCAGAGTGTCTGTTAGATGTAGAAATATGCAAATGCCATGTCAAAGAACTGTTCATGATAATTATTAAACTAATTATTTGTTTGTATTATGTTTAAAGTGCCAAAGGTGTATATGACATGGTACACACAGTCAAGGTGATGCATCTTTTCCCTGGACAAATTACAACTGAAAGGTTTGTTTTGCAACATTTCCTCAAGCAAGTATTTTCTTAAATTTAAGTTTTATAAGTAATTAGCTAAAATCTTTACCTTCTTCTGTCATATATTTGACTAACTCCTCTTTAGTAAGATGTCCACATTTATTCACATCTAAAACCTAAAGAAAAGGAATAAATAAAACCTTTTGGTTTTTTTTACTCTTACTGAGTTAGGATTCAAAAACTATTTTCCCCTTAACTAGATGCTTTAAATTTGTCGTTACAGACCTCAAATGCACGTAAAAGTACATCTTCTGGAATAGGTCGGTATCTGAAATAAATGAATTAGAACAATTGGTGCCATGATTTGGAAGGCTACTAATGCAGTTTTGGAAACAGGACCCCACAACAGTAACAAAACAGTATTCAATAAATCATAAATATTAAAGAAAAGGGAAAACACATAAATGAAAAGTTGCTTGCAAATAATAGGTGCTGCAAGACAACATATGCAAGGAAACAACTTTAATGGGAGTTTGTTCTGCACTATTGGGCTGAATTATCTGGAGTTTTGTATGCAAAAGAACTTTGCAGCATCAGATATAAAACTAATAGGTTCACAAAATTTCTAAGTAAAGACACTGCCACTTTTTTAAAGAATAAAATACATTAATTGTAGGTAATACTATTACAATGAAGGACAAACGAAAACACATCAAGGCCATCTGCAAATACAAAGACCACTATCTGCCTCTGAATAGTGTAAACCCTTCTAGTTCCAGACCAGTTACCCTTTTAGAATGCTGATCATGTATATTTACTGTGTATGGCAGTTATTTTGTTAATACATGAATATGAAGTTGATGTATGTTGTTAGAAACTCGCTATGTCTACTCATAAATGAAACTCGTATATTGCAAAAACCTGATGATTAAAGATCTTTATCTTGATAAAATCTCTTTAGAGACCCACAAAATCAGATGAATGGGAAGTTTGTTTTGATTCTCACAGTGTAAGACATGAGAATCAACACACTATCATAATTCACAGTGACTATAAACTATGTGATACTATGTGTGTGGTTTTAGTATCTGTAAAACAATATTTTTAGATTAAATCAGCTTGAACTAAAATGATCACCACTATTAAACTTGGATAGAGTAAAAAATCAAAATCTATATTTGATATCTTTGTTCAAAATCAACCACGCATGGATCTGAACTAAGCCACAACACAGAAAACAAGGGGAAGGGGGGCGGGGCACTGACGTACACGGCCAGGGGGCGTGGCTGTGTACGTCAGCATTACAGATGCACAGACACTGGGCTACTATATATATGATGTCGTCTGCATATTCACAGTTGTGGGAGAAACTTCTAGTGGAGCCTGCAGGGGAAAGGGTCAGGTCTCTCAAATCCATCATGGATAGCATTGAAGTTAACTCGGACTCAGAACTGAGACATGGAAAGACTCATTTATAACTTCCAGATCTGAAGTAGGTCTCAAACTATTGGCTCCTTCCATGAAAAAGTGACACATTATAAAAAATGGAAGCCCATTGGTAGAGAGACCATCACCATCTCTTGAGAGGGAGAGCCTGAAAGAGGAGCTGGCACTTTGAATCCACCCAGCCAATTCCTAGATTCAGCATGATGTTTATTTTTCCTGCTCTGTGTTGGTACCGAGTCCTTGTGTTTGGAGACCCTCTCTGAGCACCACACTTGGGGACAAAGAAGAGCAGAATCTAAACCTCAAATGTCAAGCCCAACTGAAAACCCCGAACCAAGGAGAAGTCAGTATATTGGAGGTTCCTTCAGTGCAAACAGGGACTCCAGCACTGAGGAATTGCCCTGGCTGTACCATTTAGCCCTTGTTTGGGAGGAGACACAGAACGTAGCTCCTTATATCTACAGGTAGCCATGAAAAGGAAAGGAAAGAAATGAAGGGGTTGGAAACTATAAACCTCTTATAAATAAGCACCATCTTGTGGCATCAAATAGTCATATCTGGACACTGATTTTCTAGGCAGCTCAGTGACATCAGAGTGTCTGTTAGATGTAGAAATATGCAAATGCCATGTCAAAGAACTGTTCATGATAATTATTAAACTAATTATTTGTTTGTATTATGTTTAAAGTGCCAAAGGTGTATATGACATGGTACACACAGTCAAGGTGATGCATCTTTTCCCTGGACAAATTACAACTGAAAGGTTTGTTTTGCAACATTTCCTCAAGCAAGTATTTTCTTAAATTTAAGTTTTATAAGTAATTAGCTAAAATCTTTACCTTCTTCTGTCATATATTTGACTAACTCCTCTTTAGTAAGATGTCCACATTTATTCACATCTAAAACCTAAAGAAAAGGAATAAATAAAACCTTTTGGTTTTTTTTACTCTTACTGAGTTAGGATTCAAAAACTATTTTCCCCTTAACTAGATGCTTTAAATTTGTCGTTACAGACCTCAAATGCACGTAAAAGTACATCTTCTGGAATAGGTCGGTATCTGAAATAAATGAATTAGAACAATTGGTGCCATGATTTGGAAGGCTACTAATGCAGTTTTGGAAACAGGACCCCACAACAGTAACAAAACAGTATTCAATAAATCATAAATATTAAAGAAAAGGGAAAACACATAAATGAAAAGTTGCTTGCAAATAATAGGTGCTGCAAGACAACATATGCAAGGAAACAACTTTAATGGGAGTTTGTTCTGCACTATTGGGCTGAATTATCTGGAGTTTTGTATGCAAAAGAACTTTGCAGCATCAGATATAAAACTAATAGGTTCACAAAATTTCTAAGTAAAGACACTGCCACTTTTTTAAAGAATAAAATACATTAATTGTAGGTAATACTATTACAATGAAGGACAAACGAAAACACATCAAGGCCATCTGCAAATACAAAGACCACTATCTGCCTCTGAATAGTGTAAACCCTTCTAGTTCCAGACCAGTTACCCTTTTAGAATGCTGATCATGTATATTTACTGTGTATGGCAGTTATTTTGTTAATACATGAATATGAAGTTGATGTATGTTGTTAGAAACTCGCTATGTCTACTCATAAATGAAACTCGTATATTGCAAAAACCTGATGATTAAAGATCTTTATCTTGATAAAATCTCTTTAGAGACCCACAAAATCAGATGAATGGGAAGTTTGTTTTGATTCTCACAGTGTAAGACATGAGAATCAACACACTATCATAATTCACAGTGACTATAAACTATGTGATACTATGTGTGTGGTTTTAGTATCTGTAAAACAATATTTTTAGATTAAATCAGCTTGAACTAAAATGATCACCACTATTAAACTTGGATAGAGTAAAAAATCAAAATCTATATTTGATATCTTTGTTCAAAATCAACCACGCATGGATCTGAACTAAGCCACAACACAGAAAACATCTACTTTTCCTTTACCTTCTTTCCATTAATACTTTTGTCATCATTGGAAGAAATTTTTCCAAACGAATATACCCTGTAGGTTCTTCTTCTTCTACCTGATATTAAAACAAAAAGACAGGAAATTTATATCTTTGACACGTTAGAAAACTAAAAAGATCAACAGAGAACCAGCTGGCTCCTGCATTAAAATAGTAAGGTTATATTTTGACTAGTCCGAGTGCCAGTGGGAGAGAAGTGGTTGGATCTATAAGACCCAATCATCCCGAGTGGGTGAGTAAGGGCAGAATCAGCCAGACATAGAGAAGATGTAAATTTCACTTCACTCCCATGGAGCCAGAGGAGA